AAGGGCACTATAAAAATGTGATAATCATTATTATAATTTTTAAGATTAGCATTGAGGAAGTATTCTTTATTTAAATTTCAAACAATGAATAAATTTTGTAACAGATATAAATAATTATACACTTTAAGGCAACACGATATTTGTTAAACAACCCACTACATTAATCAATAGCAAAATTTAAACCGTATACAGGTTATGAGGTAACTGATACCTGGCAATTTTCAGATTTAGATATGTATAATATCCTTATAATTGGACAATGTAAAGTCGGTCATCTTTACAACGGCAGATAACTTTGATGACTTTACATTACCAAGTTAAATGTATGAATCGTAAGATAGCACGTGTGAAAAGGACTGCAATGAGGTTGTTGTTGTTTTTTTTTACATGACGGGACTGAAAATAATTTTCCGAGATTTATGTTTCATGTGATGTAGGTCTAGACAAATAAATGGTGGGCTAAATTTTAAATTCATTCGCTCAATGTTTTTTCCTGCATCATTACTCTAATTGCCGACAGCTGAGTAAACAAGGTTAAAAAGTAGTTTATTAAACTAGATCAGCCTTTAGGAAATGTTCGTTTGCTTCCTTGTTGTTGACCGATAAGTAATAGTTAAAGTACATGAAACGAGTTAGTTACGAGGATATAAAACTGGCCGGGGCGACATCAAGGGATGTTTCTGCTAGAAAAAGGCGAGGCCGTTTGCCCGAGACAATTTTTTGCAGAAACATACCGAGATGTCGCCCCAGCCAGTGTTATATCCTCGTAACAAACGAGTTTCATATACTATAACGGTTTCATCGCAATGACATATTTTTCTATTTTTGTAATAAAAATAAATGAATAAATAAATGAATAAATAAATAAATCGTTAGCTACATTACAGTTATTTATGATAAGGTAGTTTTTTTCAAGTTGTTTTTGCTGCTGCAAAGAAAGATATACAAAAGACATCCAATGTTAGAAGCGGATGGTAAACTGCTACTTATATTGATTCAAGATTAAAGGGCTTTTTCAGTGGAAACATTTCATTCAACCTTTTGATTAAATGAGTGTAAATTTCATTTCATTAATTATCTTTGTTTATATTTTCATTGTATTTATTTATTTTATTTTATTGATTACATTTTTTTTCTACTGGAAATGTTCGTTACCACTGCCCCATTGGAGCCTATGTGAAAAAACTACATTGATATATACAAGGTGCGAAAAAAACACCGCTATATAGCAGTCCAGTTTTATTCATTCTAATATGAATCAATGAAAAAACTGTACTGCTATAGATCAATTGAGTTTTCAAATGCTCATTGAAAGTATACTAAGTATAATGTGTTAGTAAGAACAACGGAAAAGTTCCAAACCATGGGATTAAACAAAAAGATAGTTTAAGTAAGAATTTTCTTTCTAGAATAGTGTGTTTTTTTGTGTGAAAAGCGACACTTATCATCGTTTATTGCAGGAATAGTTATTATTATTATCCCATATCACTTTGTCCCGTTTACTGTATATCTTTAAAAATGTACGTATGAACTATCCTGGGAAACATAGCATGGAACCAGTTTGTTGACTGATATATCAAGCCGTTCTCCATGTGGTCGATTAAAGGGAGATGCATGTAATTTACTTGCTGTTAACTACTATGTTGAGTTGCTGATGAGAATGCATGTGGAAAATTAAATTGTCGTTTTCAGAAGGTTCCCACTGTCCGGAGGTGCGGTTTTAAGGGGATTAATTGTAATTATATATTTACAATTTAAGGGAAAGAGTATTACGTCTGTAAAACTATTTTATTTACATTAATTTTATCGATACAAAATACCGACAAAATCGTGTCTAAGGTAGTATGGGAAGTTAATAATTCGACAAAGTAAGATGAATTGAAAATAATGTAACCTAGAATGACAGGCGAGAACACACCGAAAACGAAAGGACAAAACAATTATTGCAGATCAGGACGATGTCACTATTAGAAGTGTAGAATGAGGACAATATATAAATAGAGAAAATCAAGGACGTAAGAGGAGTATGTGTTTATTACTGGAAATAGATGAGGTACCCGGGCAATGAGATGCTGTCGATGTTGACAAGAACGAGTCTGCCACCCATGCATTCTGTTTATATAAAAGTACACAACATGTTTCACTGAAATGCCTCTACAATTCTTACTTTGAATTTTTTATTACTCTGAAAGAAACACTTTTTTTAACGACTGAAAAAAATATTTTCTGATTTAAGTAAAAGACCACCACGTAAGTTTTGGTAGAAAATTAATAAATGCCGAAGTAAGACTGAGAATACAAACTGTGATGTTCATTTTGATGATTTTGTTAATTATTTTCCTAACATGCCAAAAATACAGATATAAATGATCTAAAAGTAAATTAAAGTTAAATATATGTAGATATTTTGGAAACAAAAATCACGAAAGATGAAATCTTAAATGCGATTTCTTCATACAACAGAAATAAAGCTGCATCAACGGATTAAATTGTGGCCGATTTTTTCTTATCGACGCTAAAGATTTCATCACACCGTACTAAGTGACATTAAATAACATTATATTTGATGCTTATCCTGAGTCTTGGACCAAAGGGTAAAATGTCCAAATTTACAAAAATGGTGATAAATCCGATCCTAGTTACAAGGGTATCACTCTTGTAAATAGCATGGCTTAACTGTTATTCCTTGTTGTAAGAAACATAATAAACCAATTGTGCGAGACAGAAGATATGATTTGTGAAAATCAGTTTGGTTTCAGTGATAAAAAAGACATAACCGATTGTATATTTTTATTACATTGTATTATCCAAAACAAGTTACATGATAAAAGGTAATAGTATTGCGCTTTAAATTTATAGACTACAAAAATCCTTGATACAGTTAATAGAGCAGCAGTATTTGTTAAATTGTTAAAAGAGGGAATAGGCAGTAAAATGGTAAATGAGATAAAATCAATGTATGAAAATGTTTCGTCACGTGTTAAAAATACTTGTACATTTTTAGATTTTTTTTGATATAATTATTAGATTGAAACCAGGAGAGCCACTCTCGACGATAATGTTTATACTCTTCATAAATGATGCAAAAACATTGACCTTAATATTTAATCAGATTATGATCTTACCAAATATGTTTATTTATGTTGCTTTTTGCAGATGATATGGCTGTGTTTTCTACCGATCCTTTTACTTTGCAGAATCACTTAAACTGTATATCAATATTCACAATATCACTTAAAATTTATATCAATATTCGAAATAAGGGTGTCTAAAGATCAATATAAAGAAGACCAAAATTTGTATTTATGAAAAACGTTACCTAGGCAACGATGTGACATCTCAAAATTGCCAAAGATCACTATTGTGCGTTGATTTTGTCCGTCGGAATTGATTTCACAGTGCTGCAACTTCTGAATGGATTGTGATAGAGTCAAAGGCTTTTTAGCGTTGGTTACATGTTACCATATGATCGACCTGGGGTCATATTAAGCCTCTCACAAGTCCAAAACTTACTTTGCGAGGAGGGGGCTGCCCTTCAAACCCCCAAACAGAGGGGGTACATCTCTCTCTTCTGACAGCCCCCTGATGTATCTCTTGGATAGGGGGCGGCGCAAAAAACGTGCTCACTTTTTCAAACAATATTTCTCAAACAAAAACAAGTGTTTGGAGCCTAAATTAGGCATTTTTTACCATTTGAGACAACAAAAAGGGGGTTGGTGTAAAAGACGTTAGAAGGCGTGTGTATCTGGTAATGGATTAAGGCAATGTACAATTTGTTAAGTCATTTTACAAGAATGCATGCATACACCAATTCTGCTTTATTCTGCGGAGGCATGGGGAATATTTTGTCCTAAAGAGATTAAGATTCACATAGAATTTTACAAAACCATATTAGGTGTGAAATCGCAGAATCCAAATTACGCTGTTTTAGGTGAATTAAAAAAATTTCCCTTATTGGTTATTTGCCAAGAAAAATCTCTAAAATATTACACTAAATTTAAATAAAATTCATATTCATTAATGTACACGTTATTTTCTATTGAGTGTTATATTAATAATGGTCAAAATTGGGCTCTCTCTGTAAAAAGGCTATTGTATAATCTTGGTTTAAATGATATATTGGATAATTTTAATCTACATGTAAACTATATTCCTACTTTGTCACGAAGATTGAGAGATCAATTTATCCAACATTGGCATTCTTCAATCAATAATTTGCCGACTTTATCTTATTATGTTCAATTCAAAACTGTAATTGAATCAGTGGAATATCTTAATAAAAGAGACAAATTAGTGAAACTGTTTGCATCCGTTAGGTTAAGCAGTCATAATCTAGCTCTAGAAACCGGCCCGTTATCGAGGTGTAGATAGAGAGGATAGATTATGTAAACATTGTATAATGCATGTAGTTGAAAGCGAGTACTATTTTCTTTTAATCTGTACACATTATTCTGAAATATTTGCCAAACACATCATGGCCATCCCTACCTAAATCTTATAGCTTAATGTCAAGTAGAAAACAATCAATTTAACTGATTATATAGAACTTTTTTAATGAAGCATATTTAAAAAATAAATTAAATAAATATGTAAGTTAAAGCATGTCATATTATTGACTGTTTCTCTACATCAGATTTGCAATCATTTAACAGATATGGAACAATTATATATCTTTTGATGCATGCGTGATTTTGTATATATTTTAGTTTGTCAACCTTTGCCAAAGGCATCTTTTATGCTGATTATTACAAATAATTTTTTTAATTGGATTGTATTGTTGAAAAAATATTCATATAAAACATCCATTGTTAAAACAATATTTGATACGTTAAATTTTTAAATCACATGAATAAAAATATGTACTAATGTCACTGATTTCCTGCAAAAGAGATATGTTGAAAGTATAATGTACATCTTGTAAAGCATTGAGTAAATTTCCTAGCCTCTTTATTAATTAGATAAGCGTGAGTAATTTTGCAACACACTCTTTAAATGTAATATGCAACACTGTCTTTATATGTAATTTTGCAACACTGTCTTTATAACAAGGGCCAATAACACTCCTTGAAAGCAACACACTGAAATGATAAAATATCAGGCATTAAAAAAGAAGAAAGAAAGAAACATCAACAACAAACAAAGCTGACACAATTTGAATGATATTACGCACTGGTTGAAGCGATTTAAATTCACAAAATATTTATATAAAATAAACTTTGTTACAAATAACATTTACGTAGAGAGAGGATGTTGTGGTTTCATAAAGAAAATATTGTGTGTGTCTTTAAGGGTCTATAAACATTCCTACACAATCCATAAAACCTAGTAATTAAATTGTATTAATTAATTTTATTAATAGCATATTGTTTAAACAAAATAGCAGTACGCAGACTGTTTGAACAGAAAATGAAAATCTTTACCTTTAAATGTAAAATTAAAATGATAACGTACCTATACCAGCACTGTTGGTACACAGGGTGCCTTCATAGCCGGTTACGCATGCGCATTCAAACCCACTGTTACCACTTAAACAAGTACCATTATTCTTACATGGGTCGGATGAGCAATGATCTATCCCTGAAAATAAGCAGAAATATATTTCATCCATTATCATTCCATGATATGGTTCCATGAATTTGTCAACTATGTTATTTAAGTAAAGTTTCGAAAAAAAGTAAAACATGGCAATAATGTTAATTGTAGCTGTACTATGAAACAGAGAACAAATGTGTTTCACTCCATGTCATATTTGTTTTGAATAAGCTACTTGTGCGAGTTATGTCCAAACCATACATATATATTTCTGACTTTAGGGAACTTAAACGATGTTGTTTTCTATCTATTTTCACACGAACGCATCTGTCGTTTAACAAAGACAATCCATGCATTTTTAATCCATTTGAACTGCAGATTGAATAAATCAATCATTGATATTTTGCATGTTCACGCGCAAGTAACAATGGGGGCATATGATTCAATAACGCTTCTTGATTCTGCAATCCGACCAATCAAGCCATCATGCTTCGGTATTGTACCGATCATGGGATTTTTTACATTCTGGATAACTCGCGCATGATAAATTGAACTATTTGGGCATGCATATGATAGTTGTATTAGGAACAGAAAAAAAAAATATGTCAATAATGTTTTATTATTCCTTTCTTTTCTTATGTTCTACAGATGCATACATTTTTTGTGAGTATATTTTATTATATTTTAGATATTTACGTGTTTCACACGTGTTCCCGGTATATCCATCCGCGCATGCGCATGTGTAGTTACCCACTGTTGAAATGCATGTTCCTCCATTGTGGCACAGATCCGTGGTACATTCGCCTTTCAAACATAACAGTTTCAGATTTATAAATATACTTATATAAGCGTAATTATGCAACTTTTCTTATACTTCCTTATTTTTTTCATTTTGCAGCACAGAAAAGTAATGATAATCAGGAGATTTGACATAATAATATTGCAATGTCCACGTCATTCCAGGTAAAAGATTTGAGCTTTGCAAGAAAACAAATCACTGTCGGTCAAAGGGATCTTTTTGAAGAAGCACGATTCACTTCATTTAATTGACAAGCATGCCCGTAATTGTTTGATAAACGATTTGACATGAAATTCATTTTTTAAAAGATTATTTTTTGGGCTCCTAAGAAATACGTCGTTTTTCTCACTAAAACTTGTCAAACAAGACTGACTGTTGTACAAAGCATATCAATAAACAAGATACATGTCTTAAATACAATGGCTAACGCCCGCACAATAAGCATTGAATGTATTTTCCTACCATATATAAGTCGGTATGAATAAATTGACTCCATGAGACTGGGCCGATAGTGACCCAAAGGGTCATCTAAGCCTTAGACATTGCTGTTACTTGTCGTAGGACTTAAGTATGTTTTATTCCTCTTTTTCAATAAATGTGAATTTTATAAACTATCGTAGAATAATTAAAAAAATATATTCATGAGTTATAGGCAAAAAAACGTACCGTATTCACAGTTGGCACCAGTAAACCCCGGTTTGCACACGCAAAGGTCAGAGTCCAATTCCTGAATACAGGTGCCTCCATTCCGACAGGGGCTTAGCTCACAATCCAGAACCACTGAAATGGTATTCATTCTTGCGTAATTTGTATTCATTGTCACTAATAGTTTTAATAGTTTTTTTTTTTACAAAAATGCATCAATACTGTTCAGACAACAATCATGTTTTGAAGTCAATTCTGATAAGTATCGATTTTTTAATAAACGGCAATTGGTTTAATATAGATGATCAGTATTTGTTTTGACAATAGTCAGTATCATACGTGGCAACAAACCGAAGAAAACTTATATTTAGATGTTGTTGGTAAGTGCATGAAACAAAATTACAAATAAATATATAGCAGGTAATAAAGTGTTCTTGAAAAAAATTGCTGTGTTTTATCAAATGCAGGTATGTTTTCATACAATATCACTTTAAAACTGTATCAACATTTTCAGAAATATTTCGTAAGAATATCCAAATATTAATGAAAATTGTGCCCATTGTTGACATTTTTTCCAATAATTTAATCATTAATATTCGATACTTAAATTCATCAAATAATTGAAGGTATATAGGTACAGGTCATAAAAAGAGAACTAGTTATACGTAATTGTATTTCAAGGAAGTTTATTTATTTAAGATAAATCGATTGGTATATAAAATTTCCAACCGATACCAAAATCATATCAAAACGATATAAATTACAGTAAAATACCACCTAACGACCACGCCACAAATAGGACCACGCCGCTGTTACGGGTACCTTTTAAAAGTAAAAAATATTTGCCTTCTTTATTCATTGAGAAAAATGACCAGTATACCGACCACGTCTCTAATCCGGCATAACGACCACTTCTGTCAGACATTTGTGTGTATTTCTTATCAAATCAATAACCTGTTTTACGACCATGCAACATAATGGCCAGACAACACTTTGTGTTTTTTGCCCCCCCCCCCCATTAATTGTTGTAATCTTCCCTCTGGCGTAAACAAATACACCGGGTCAAATAAGGTCATTAATATATATCGATTGATGAGACGCTTGCTTTACGATGTATCTTTAGCATTCAAGCGTCAACATGATCAGTTTAAACCACTTCTGGCTAATTAATCTAAGCAGCTATGGTGTGAGAAACGATTAATTTGTCAGCGTAATTAGGATGTGATAAACAGGTAAATAGCATTTAAAATTGTATGGTAAAAATTGCTAATTACACCAAATTAACATGGATTTAAGATACTACCATCCTCGTTATTCTAAAAAGGGCATGAGAAAAATAAAACTTTAATCGGAATGGAATTTTCCAGTATTTACTTAAACAGTACAATGTAAATTGACTGATTGGCTATCCAATGGACCTTTCAAGTTTTAAACTGCGAAAATATTTGACCCAACCTTATATATTAGTTTCTAGGTCAACTGGTCATAAACATAATCACTTATTTTCCTATGTGTTATCACATGTGTTCCTATGTGTTATCACATTTGTTCCTATGCATTATCTCACTGTAGCAATTGGATAGTCAAGTACCAATTCTGTTGCATAAAACTGCACTGGATAGATCTATTGCTTCACATATAGGGACCTAATACAATCTGACTTAAGTTCAGATCTTCTTATTTCTTTTATGTAGATCTGATGACGACGGTACATGTTTCGTCTTCTTGATAATAGGGTTTTCCGTGAAAGTTATTTTTAGCCTAGGAATCAAACCGGTTTTTACATAGGCATAAGAAGAAGTATCAAAATACCTTTGTACGTGGAAAATGTTGATTTGTAGTAAAAAAAAATGTTGGAAGTAATTTTGAACATATTACTTGACAAAATAGAGTCAATTTTAATAGACAAGATTGCTTTGCCTGTTCACCTGTCGGCCATATTGACAACGCCATTTTTGTTTTCAAAATATTGAATATAACCTACTCAGTATTGGTTTTCCCAGGGTTAAAATCATTAACCAAATCGCTTTCAAAGTTATAAAAACTCATTATTGGCTGTGTAAATAGTCACCAGAAATAATATCGTACATTGTCATGCTCATATCCAAACGTGGAGCGTGATTAAGAGCCGATTTCAATCAGATTGGGAGCTAACATTTGTTATGATCATAGGAGAGCATCGAAAAGCTTGTCTTTAAAGTTAATACTATTTTAGCGTTTTACAGTGCTTAATATTTAAAGGTCCTTTGACAGTAGTTCCTGAAAATGAAAGCTATGGTAGCTTTATTGAAGATGCAGTTATGACTGTTAGATACCTTTCTTGCAGTTTTTACCAGAAAATCCAGGCGGACATTCACATGTATAGTTCACCAGTTCCTGCACACATATCCCTTCATTCAAGCATGGGTTAGGTGAACAACTGTCTACAATAAGACCATTTTATATATATATATATAAATTTTTGAAGAAAAAAATAACATCAAACAAACAAACACATTTATTTCACCATTACTTAACTGATGTGTATGGCAATTAATCGAGCGGAGCTGTATATCTGTTTTATGAGAACGACGCTGAAGTCTATCAAATTTGAAATTCTTACAAAGATTAAATTTCGGTATCTACTACAGCAAAACTACACAACAAATAATAATTATAATGATAAATACACTAAATCAATCAATATATTAAACATTTGTATATGAAACCTATAGGCTAAGCTGCATTTAAGTTAAACAGTTTTAACGCTTATTTTTATATGTTGTTCATCTTGCACAGTTAAAATCATTATTCATTATTTTTTACATTAATTAGGACAAATATGTTTTGCCCCATCTTGTCAACAATGAATTAATAGATAAATAAATGAATAAATAAATAAATAAACAAGAGGGCCATGATGGCACTGAGTTGCTTACCAGACACAACTGCTTTTCAGTGTTGGATTTTTTTTATCAAATTTGAGCATAGAATATGCTTAAACAATGATTTGAGGAAACGCCATGACCTGGGGCATTTAAGCTTTAGCTTAAACAGGGCTAATCAAATAAATATGAGCAAACTTGATAAAAGACTACATGAAAATGCTACAGACAAAGTTTGGTGATAATCCATCAATACGTTCTGTAAGAGAAGATGTTTAAATTTTTTTCTATTTTTAGCGCTAGAGACCCCTAAAAGGGGCCAATCAAAATAATATTAGCAAACTACTTCCTAAGAATGCTACAGACAAACTTTGGTGGTCATACATCAATTAGTTCTGTAGAAATAGACGTTTAAAGGTTTTTCTATTTTTAGCTTTAGCGGCCCCTAAAAGGGGCCAATAAAATTCATATGAGCAAACTTGAAAAAAGTCTACCCAAGAATGCTACAGACAAAGTTTGGTGATCATCAATCACTTAGTTCTGAAGAAGATGGTGTTTAAAGGTTTTTCTATGTTTAGCCCTAGAGGCCCATAAAAGTGGCCAATCAAATTAATATGAGCAAACTTGATAAAAGACTACCGACTACCCAAGAATGCTACAGACAAAGTTTGGTGATCACCCATCAATTAGTTCTGTTGAAAAGGATGTTTAAAGGTTTTTCTATTTTTAGCTCTGCTGACCCCTAAAAGTGGCCAATTGGAATGACATGAGCAAATTCAAGTGTGACTGTCACAAGAATGATACAGACCAAATTTGAAGTAAATCTGCTTCGTAGTTTCAGAGAAGAAGACGATTGTTGACGCACGACGACGGGCGACGGAGCATCCCCTTTGATACTAATAGCTCACCCTGAGCCTTCGGCTCTGGTGAGGTAATAAATACATGAATAAATAAATAAAGGAATAAATAAATGGATGGATGGATGGATGGATGGATGGATGGATGGATGGATGGATGGATGGATGTAAATTGTAGATTTTTTGAAAAGAGTAGCTTATCAAAACGATACAAATTACTTGCATTTGGTATATTAAATAATTGTTATTCTGTAAAAGGCATAAGTAAAATTAAACGTTTATTGGAATGGAATTGTCTAGTATTATTTACTTTAACAGTACAATGTAAATTGACTAATTGGCTATCCAATGTACCTTTCAAGTTTTAAACTGTGAAAGTATTTGAACGCGACTTTTATATTAGTAACTAGGTCAACTTTTCATAAACAGTATCACATGTGTTCCTATGTGTTATCACATGTGTTCATATGTGTTATCACACTGTAGTTATTGGATAGCCAGTTACCCATTCTTTCTTGCATAACTCTTCACTGGATAGGTCCATTGCTACACATGTAGGGACTAAACATTTGGTAGCATAAAACAGCTTGTCTGTAAAGTTTCTACTATTCTAGCGTTTAACAGCGCAAATTATTAAAAGCTCATATGGCGGGAGTTCCTTAAAGAAAGAAAGGTATGGAAACTTCATTAAAGATGGAATAATAAATGTAAGATACCTTTCTCACAGTTTTCACCAGAAAATCCTGGCAAACATTCACATTTATAGTTCACCAGTTCCGGAACACATTTCCCTTCATTCAAACATGTGTTGGGTGAACAGCTGTCTACAATAAAGGCCATTTTATTAATTTATAACTTTTTGAAAAAAAAATCAAACAAAACAAGTTTTATTCGACCATTACTTGACTGATGTGTATTGAAGTTAATCTACAGAGTTGTATATCTGTTTCAATGAGACTCAGCTGAGGTCTATTAAATGTGAAATTCTTACAAGATTAAATTTTGGTATCTAATATGACAAAACTACACTAGAAAGAATAATAATAATTATTAGTACATAAAATAAGTCAATATGTAAAACATAATTATGTGAAACTTATAGGTTAAGCTCGATTTGAGTTAAAAATTTTAACGCCAATTTTCTAACATATCGTTCGTTTTTGACAAATACAGTTATCATTCATCATTTATTACATTAATTAGGACAACTATTTTTGCACCATCTTGTCAAACATAAATAAATGAAAAAATGCATAAATAAAAAATAAATGAATTTATGAATAAATAAATGAAAGGATGAATAAATAAGTGGATGGATGGATGGATGGATGGATTATGTTTGAAAATTTAGAGATGTTTTTGAAAACGATATAAATTTCTTGCATTTAAAATATAACCATACGCGTTATTTTGAAAAAGGCATGAGTAAAATTAAAAGTATATCGAAATGGATTTTTCTAGTATTTATTGTACAATCTAAATTGACTGATTTGCTAACTACTGTTAGATACCTTTCTCGCAATTTTCACCAGAAAATCCAGGCTGACATTCACATGTATAGTTCACCTTTTCCTGCACACATGTCCCGTTATTCAAACATGGGTTGGGTGAACAAACGTCTACAATAAAGGCCATTTTATGATTTTATAAATTTTTGAAGAAAAAAAAAAAATAAACATCCAACAAATTTTATTCGACCATAACTTGACTGATCTTTATTGAAATCAATCTACTGAGCTCCATCTGTATCAAAGAAGGTCTATATAATGTGAAATTCTTACAAAGATTAAATGTTGGTATCTTTCTCGACAAAACTACGCAACAAATGATAATGATAAGTACACTCAATGAATCAATATGTAAAACGTTTTTATTTGAAACTTATAGGCTAAGCTCGATTTGAGTTAAACAAAGTTTTAAGGCTTATTTTTCTATTTGTCTTGCACAATTAAAATTATTATTCATCGGATGGATGGATGGATGGATGAATTATGTTTGTCAATTTAAAGATTTTTAAGGGTAGCTTATCAAATCTATATAAATGAATTGCATTTTAAATATATCAAAACTCGTTATTCTGAAAAAAGCATGACTTAAATTATACGTTGATTGGAATAGAATTTCCCAGTATTTTCTTAAATTATTATTATAGCACAGTGTAATTTGAATAAATGACTATCCATTGGACATTTCAAATTTGAAAATGCTAACATATTTGACCCCACATTTTATATCAATTACTTGATCAACTGCTCAAAAACAGTATCAAATATGTTCCTATGTGTTTTCACATGTGTTTCTATGTGTTATCCCACTGAAGCAATTGGACAGCCAGTTACCCATTCTTTCTTGCATAAAACTTCACTGGATAGGTCCATTGCTACACATGTAGGGACCAAACTTTTGGTAGAATCATAGGAGGGCATCAAACAGTTTGTCTTTAAAGTTAACACTTTTCTAGCTTTAAACATCGCTTATTATTCAAAACTGTTTTGAGAGTAATTCCTGGAAAAGAAAGCTAGTTTAGCTTAATTAAAGATGGGATAATAACTGTTAGATACCTTTCTCGCAGTTTTCACCAGAAAATCCTGGCGGACATTCACATGTATAGTCCTCCAGTTCCTGTACACATGTCCCGTTATTCAAACATGGGTTGGGTGAACAGCTGTCTACAATAAAGGCCATTATATCAATTTATAATTTTTTGAAAAAAAAAAAAAAGATGAAACAAATTTTATTCGACAAATATTTGACTGATGGTTATTGAAATCATCCACGGAGCTGTATATCTGTTTCAAAGTAACTTTGCTGAGGTCTATAAAATGTGAAATTCTTACAAAGATTAAAGTTTGTTATCTACCTCGACAAAACTACATAACAAATAGTAGTGATAAGTACACTTAATCAATCAATAAGTAAATCATTTTTATGTGAAACCTATAGGCTAGATTCGATTTGAGTTAAAAAAAGGTTTTAACGATTTTTTTTTCATTTATCTTTCGTCTTGCAACATTTTATAATTATTACTGATCGGATGGATGGATGGATGGATGGATGGATGGATTATGTTTTGTCAATTGAGAGATTTTTAGAAAATGGTAGCTTATCAAAACTATATAAATTAATTGTATTTTATATATTACAATACTTGTTATTCTGAAAAGGCATGACTTAAATTAAACGTTTATTCCAATTGAATTTTCCCGTATTTCCTCTAATTATTATAGATCAATGTAATTTGACTAATTGGCTATCCATTTGACATTTCAAATGTTAAACTGCAAACATATTTGACCACACATTTTATACTAGTTTTTAGGTCAACTGCTCAAAAACAGTATCAAATATGTGCCTATGTCTTATCACATGTGCTCATATTGAGTTATCCCACAGTAACATGCAATTGGATAGCCATTGACCCATTCTTTCTTGCATGTAACTGCACTGGATAGGTCCATTGCTAGTATTGCTACACATGTAGGGACCAAACATTTGGAAATATCGAAGAAGGAAATCAAACAGCTTGTCTTAAAAGTTAACACTTTTCTAGCATTTAATAGCGCTTATTATTCAAAGTTCTTGTGGCAGGAATTCCTGAAAAAGAAATATTTTTTAGCTTAATTAAAGATGGGATAATAAATGTTAAATACCTTTCTCGCAGTTTTCACCAAAAAATCCTGGCGGACATTCACATGTATAGTCCACCAGTTCCTGCACACATTTCCCGTTATTCAAACATGGGTTGGGTGAACAGCTGTCTACAATAAAGGCAATTTTATCAATTTATAATTTTTTGAAAGAAAAAAATCAAACAAACACATTTTATTCGACCATTATTTGACTGATGTGTATTGAAGTTTATCTACGGAGTTGTATATCTGTTTCAATGAGACTCGGCTGAGGTCTATTAAATGTGAAATTCTTACAAGATTAAATTTTGGTATCTTGTACGCAAAACTACACAACAAAGAATAATAATAATTATTATTACATAAAATTAGTCAATATGTAAAACATAATTATGTGAAACTTATAGGTTAAGCTCGATTTGAGTTACTAGTTTTAACGCCCATTTTTTAATATATCGTTCGTTTTTGACAAATAAAATTATCATTCATCATTTATTACATTAATTAGGACAACTATTTTTGCGCCTTCATGACATTTATGAATAAATGAATGAAAGAATGAATAAATAAATGGATGGATGGATGGATTGATTATGTTTTAAAATTTAGAGATGTTTTTGAAAACGATATAAATTTCTTGCATTTAAAATATAACCATACGCGTTATTCTGAAAAAAGGCATGAGTAAAATTAAACGTTTATCAAAATGGAATTTTCCAGTATTTATTGTACAATCTAAATTGACTGATTTGCTAATAACTGTTAGATACCTTTCTCGCAGTTTTCACCAGAAAATCCTGGCGGACATTCACATGTATAGTTCACCTTTTCCTGCACACATTTCCCGTTATTCAAACATGGATTGGGTGAACAAACGTCTACAATAAATGCCATTTTATCAATTGATAAATCTTTAAAGAAAATAAATAAATAAATAAATAAACAAATTTTATTCGACAATTACTTGACTGATGTTTATTGAAATCAAGCAACGGGGCTGTTAACTCTATCAAAGGAACTCCGCTGATGTCTATAAATGTGAAATTCTTACAAAGATTAAATTTTGGTATTTACTTCAACACAACTACACAACAAATAATAATGATAAATACACTTAATCAATCAATATGAAAGACTTTTGTATGTGAAACTTATAGGCTTAGCTCGATTTGAGTTAAAAAAGAGAGTTGTTACGCTTATTTTTCTATTTGTCTTTAGTCTTGCACAATTAAAATTATTATCCATCGGATGAATGGGTGGATGGATGGATGATAAATGAATAATGTTTGTAAATTTAGAGATTTTTATAAAAGGTTACCTTATCCAAAACTATATAAATGAATTACATTTGAAATATTACAATACTCGTTATTCTTAGAAAAGGCATGGCTTAAATGAAACGTTTATTGGAATTGAATTTCCGAGTATTTTCTTTAATTATAATAGCACAATGTAATTTGAATAATTGGCTATCCATTGGACATTTCAAATTTGAAAATGCAAACATATTTGACCCCGCATTTTATATTAATTACTAGGTCAACTGCTCACAAACAGTATCAAATATGTTCCTATGTGTTATCACATGTGTCTGTATGTGTTATCCCACTGTAACATGCAATTGGATAGCCAGTGACCCATTCTGTCTTGCATAAAACTGCACTGGACAGGTACATTACTACACGTGTAGGGACCAAACATTTTGAGAAATCGTAGGAGGACATCAAACAGCTTGTCTTTAAAGTTTACACTTCTCTAGCGTTTAACAACGCTTTTTATTCAAAGCTCTTTTGACAGTAATTCCTGAAAAAGAAAACTATTTTAGCTTAATTAAAGATGGGATAACAACTGTTAGATACCTTTCTCGCAGTTTTCACCTGAAAATCCTGGCGGACACCCACATGTATAGTCCACCAGTTCCTGCACACATGTCCCGCTATTTAAACATGGGTTGGGTGAACAAATGTCTACAATAAAGGCCATTTTATCAATTCATAATTGTTTGAGAAAAAAGAAAGAAAAAGATCCAACAAATTTTATTCGACAATTACTTGACTGATGTTTATTGAAGTTAATCTTCGGAGCGTTATATCTGTTTCAAAGGAATTTCGCTGGGGTCTTTAAAATGTGAAATTCTTACAACATTACATTTCTGTATCTACAACTGCAATACTACACAACAAATAATAATAATGATTTATACACAAAATCAATCAATATGTTAAACAAATTGTATGTGAAACCTTTAGACTATGCTCAATTTGAGTCAAAAAGTTTAAACGCTTATTTTTCATTTATTTGTTTTTCACCTTGCACAATTAAAATCATTATTTATCGGATGGATGGGTTGATTATGTTTGTCAATTTAGATATTTTTAGAAAAGAGTAGCTTATCAAAACTTTATTATTAAAGATGGGGTAAAAACTGTACGATACCTTTCTCGCAGTTTTCACCAGAAAATCCTGGCGGACATTTACACGTATAGTTTACCAGTTCATGCACACATTTCCCTTCATTCAAACATGGGCTGGGTGAACAACTATCTACAATAAATGCCACTGTATCAATTCATAATTTTTTGAAATAAACAAAAAACACCAAAAACATCAAAAATAACAAACAAAGAAATAAATTTTATTCGACCATTACTTGACTGAAAGTGTAAAGGAATTTTTAAAGGAACCGGAGGCTGTAAAAATTTTTCAAAGGGACTCCCCTTTGAAAGCCTAAAAAACTCGATTTGTTATTTGGAAAAAACACCCTTTTTTTTTTATATGTCGTTCGTCTTGCACAATTGAAATTATTATTTATTATTTAGTACATATATAAGGATTTTTTTTTGCCCCATCATGTCACACAATAAATAAATAATAAATATTAAATAAGTGAATAAATGAATAAATAAATAATAAAGAAATGGATGGATGGATGGATTATGTTTGTCAATTTAGAGATTTTTAGAAAAGAGTAGCTTATCAAAACAATATAAATTACTTGCATTTTAAATATTACCTTACTCGTTATTCTGAAAAAAGGCATGAGTAAAATTAAAGGTTTATCAGAATGGATTTTTCCAGTATTTACTTTAACAGTACAATGTAAATTGACTGTTGGCTATCCAATGGTTCTTTCAAGTTTTTAAACTCGGAGTTTATTTGAAGCCGCCTTTTATATTAGTTACTCGGTCAACTGCTAAAAACAGTATCTCATGTGTTCCTATGTGTTATCACATGTGTGCATATGTGTTATCACATGTGTCTGTATGTGTTGTCAGATGTGTTCCTATGTGTTATCCCGTGTGTTCATATGTGTTATCACATGTGTTCATATGTGTTTTCGCGTCTGTTTCTATGTGTTATCACATGTGATCCTATGTGTTATCACATGTGTAACTATGTGTTATCCCACAGTAACATGCAATTGGATAGCCAGTTAACCATTCTTTACTGCATAAAACTGCACTGGATAGGTCCATTGCTTCAGATGTAGAAAAAAAACATTTGATCATAGGAGAGCATAGAACGGCTTATCTGTAAAGTTTCTACTATTCTAGCATTTAACAGCGCTTATTATTAAAAGTTCTTTTGGCAGGAATGCCTGAAAAAGAAAGCTATTGTAGCTTCATTAAAGATATAGTAATAACTGTTAGATACCTTCCTCGCAGTTTTTACCAGAAAATCCTGGCAGACATTCACATTTATATTTCATAAGTTGCTGCACACATGTCCCCTTATTCAAACATGGACTGGGTTTACAACTATCTACAATAAATACAATAAATTATATCAATTTATAATTTTTTGAAAAAAAGGTCTATAAAATTTGAAATTCTTACAAAGATTAAATTTTGATTTCTACTACGACAAAAACTACACAACAAATCTTCTACAATTTGACTTTTAACCTCACAAATTTTACCAGTTCTTTCGCAGATGAAGCAATGTTTTCTGTCACACGGGATATTGTTCCATTTGTACCAGTCACTGGTATACTGTCCACACCGGCCGTCTTCATCTGGTTGATTTTTATACCACGAACTGTAATTAACAGAGTTCCCACTGGTGATCCATTTCCATGTCTTATCGGCATAACGTCTTTTTAAACCAATGTAGTAGTAGCCTGAAAGCAATGAATGTGGCATTCAAGGGAGACCCAGGCAAAATTTTCATTTCTTCGTTTTGAATTTTGCATTCATTACTCTATTAATGTCCTCAAAATGAGTACACTAGGCAGTCACAGGAACAAAGCATTTCGCCTTACAAAGAATAAAATGGTGGTTTCCTACCTTGACCCACGTGGGTCATGGTAGAGCGTTAAGATTTCGTAACAATTCGTCAAAGTGAACTCTGGAAACGTTAAATAACACGAGAAATGATAAACTTAGACTCGTTATCTTATTGCATTGCACAGTTCAACTTCATGAATTCTTGATTTATTATTTGTGAATTCACAATTTTTACTTCGTTAATTCACAATTTCAACTTCATAAATTCACATTCCCAACATATGAAATACACGATTTCAACTTCATGAATTTCGATTTCAGCTTCGTGAATTCACAGTTTTACCTGTGTGAATTCACGTTCTCAACATATGAAATTCGAGATTTCAGCTTCATGAATTCACAGTTTCGTCTTTGTGAATTTATAATGTCAACTTTGTTAATTCACGTTTTCAAAATACGGAATTCACCATTTTAACTTCACGATTTCCCGATTTCATAATCCTGAATTCACAATTTTAAACTCGTGAATTCACTTGTTCAACATACGAAATTCACGAATTCACGATTTTTACTTTTCATCTTCCGAAATTCACAATTTTAACTTTGTAAATTCAAATGTTCAACAAACGGAATACACGGATTCACGATTTCAACTTAAGTGAATAAAATATTTTGACTATTCACAAATTGTGTCAATTTATTACTAAAACTATTTTGTACCAATAAAAATAAATATAAACATGTACTTATTTCTAAAGAACTATTTGGTATGTCTGTTTTAATTTGTTGTTTCTATGTGATTGTAACCGGGTTTTAAATGTTTAAAACGATTAAAATTTTATCAAGTTTTATTCTCACAAATGCAAAAATGAAATAAATAATAATAATAATAATAATGAAAATAAAAATAATAATAATAATAATAATGATAATAGTAATAGTAATAATATTAATAATAATAATAATGATAATAATAATAATAATAATAATAAATCATAATAATAATGATAATAATAATAATAATAATTATAGTAATGATAATAATAATATTAATAATAATAATAATAATAATAATAATAATAATTATAATAATGATAATATCATTAGTGTTGTTGATAATTTCTAACAGCATTGTTTTCACACTTTACATTTATACGGGGTTACATCTAAAACAGATCTTATTGTACAATTAGAGCAGCACGCTATGTTAGGCATAATATCACGTTAAAAGCAGCGGAAGTGATTTCAGCATCTAGTGAAAAGACAACTAACACTTGTATCCAGCTTCAGAAGCAATTTTCTGTAGGAACCTGTTTTCAAGATCACTTTCAACCTCTACCAGATAACTGCTCCTCTCCAAACACCAATTCTTTGTTAAAGAAAAAAAACATACAGACTACATTTCTTTAAAGATCCGGTAACACATTTTTTTATGGTTTTAAATCATATATATGATGCTCGAATTAAGATTTATCAATATTGTAGGTTCCAAAAAGCATTATGTATAAAGATATTACCGAATTTAACATTTCATGTAAATAAAGGTAGGTAATTAGATATTTATTTTCTATAAAGTGTAAGTCAAATTTTACAATAAAAATATATGCATATATTTTAATGTGTACATATAATATGAAAAAAGTTTTGCAGTACATATCTAGTACATATTTTACATATTCTTCGATGTTTGAAAATTGATTTATTTGCATTATTATTCTTACATATATATATATAATTTCACTTAGTGTGGTTAACCACTTTGATCATAACATACAGGATCTGTAATTATTTTCCTTACAGGGTGTATAGATATGAATTTCTATTACAAAGAACCAAACTGTTATTTGTTAATGCAGACTTCAGCGATAATATCTTTGACACAGAAAAGAAACTGCATTAACAATAAGGTAAATTTAGACTTTGCAAGTACATAAACTTCTTACGGATCTATAAAAAGAATGAAATACTAGCTTCACTAGTTCGTTTATGTTTCTAAAAAATAAATGAAATAAATACGAACTGTGAAGTGAACAACTAAAGTAGTTAACACATGTCAAACGACAATTATAAAGCCCATGAATTATAAAAAGGGTTTAATTAGATATGCAAAAAAAGTCCTGTTTGCGTTAGTCACGCGGTAGAAAAATATCCTGATAAATACTGCAGCAAAATATAACATAATTGCTCTTACCTTAGCATCTGTCCAATTCATATTGTATTCATTAAGATAATAACAGGAACTATATTGTCCCCTCCAGCCTTTATCGCAGTCTCCTGAAATATGTTAGATTTCTCTTTACTTCCGGTTTGCTTATATTTTATTAAAGCAGCATGCATCAGGACTACTTTTTCATTGAACATTTTTAGAAAATGTAGATTCAATTTAAAAGTATTTTGAAATATACAGAGTTGTTATTTACAAAAATAGTTAAAAACAAGAAGAAGTAGCCCATTCTGCTTTAGTAACACAGTAAAATAAATTGCTAGTAAATGCTGCAAAATCAGTCCTTAATCGCACATAATGTGTCAATTATTACTTGAATTTAAAATTCATTGTATTTTTCATACAATCTTAGTAGATCCTCTTTTCACTCTATTTTGATCATGACTTAGGTGGCTCATCTGTAGGCATGTAACTTTAAAAGTTTAACTTTATGAAGTAACATACACAGAAACTCCTTCCGCTGATATCTTATAGTTGTGTAGTTTCATTAAAATACCTTCAGTCTATTTTAGGTTATTTCCGGGCATACTCGTGTCTTTTTAGAGACAAAAAATGAAATAAATAAAACGTGTACTGCAGTGTCAATGCTAAGCCACTCGCAAGAAAACTGAATTTTAAAGCTCACTCGATGAAATTTATGCTTTCATCTCACACACAAACAAAAAAACACATATATGGTGGCTTATTTATGACACTCATGTTTTCGCCCTGTGATCACACCACGCGAAAAGTCGAAATTTTAATAGGTTATAATGAAGGTGGCGCTGAGCGAAAACACGCTATTACGCGGGGGCGTTTGACGAGCCCCCGTCATTTTATTTCTTAAATCTTGCTCCGCGACCCCGCTAATAAGCGTGTTTTCGCTCCGCATTTTAACTTCTTAATGCTGGACCTTTCGTTTGGTGGGGTCGCGAGGCGAAAACACAAATGGCTCAAATCAGCCACCATACAATATCATTCAAACATTTAAGAGCAGTAAAGTAAGTGGCATAACCCATCAGTTGTCTTTCATCGGCAGCTCAATTTTTTTTGTAGCCCACTTAGTTACCTTTTCTACTTCTGGAAGGATAAGTCGAGTCAACAAAGTCAAAGCATATGATGGCAAAATTTCCCTAGGTATGGTGTAAAATATCACATTAAATGGAGTTAAAACGTTAATGTTATGCAGAAAAAAAGGTGTTTATATTTTAAACATGAAAAAAAGAAAGAAAGACGTCCTTGTTGAATTAAAAAATTAACACATATTAAAGGAGTTTCGAAAGCCTAATGGCCACTTTGGTATATTTACAAAAACAAACTAAGCAGTAAAGTAAGTGGCATAACCCATCAGTTGTCTTTCATCGGCAGCTCAATTTTATTTTGTAGCCCACTTAGTTACCTTTTCTACTTCTGGAAGGATAAGTCGAGTCAACAAAGTCAAAGCATATGATGGCAAAATTTCCCTAGGTATGGTGTAAAATATCACATTAAATGGAGTTAAAACGTTAATGTTATGCAGAAAAAAAGGTGTTTATATTTTAAACATGAAAAAAAGAAAGAAAGACGTCCTTGTTGAATTAAAAAATTAACACATATTAAAGGAGTTTCGAAATCCTAATGGCCACTTTGGTACGTTTACAAAAACCAACTAAGAACATTTTCATTTTAAATAGGAATTGTTCAATCTTAACTGGGACTTTGTTTCTTCAAATCGTTTCCTAAAACTAAAAAAAAAAATAGGAAAAAAACCCCAAACAGGGAATAAAGATTTATCTTAACCTGCCATTTTTAACTGGCTCAGAGCATTTTATTAAATGGGGAAACGTGTCCAAAATCATCTAATAGTATTCCCAGTCAATGCATAGTAAATCTATAGGTATTTAGCCATGAACTAGTCCTTATCGACGTGATATAAATGTACCAACTAAGTTTATAATCTACCTAAATTAGTCAGAAAATTTGTAAAATTTCTGTCTTTACTGCAGCTACCTCACATATTATTGGCAACCTTAATACACTGTGCTATCCTGTATCATTTCGCATCATGGTCCTCGTTATACACTGCACCTATCTCCTCACTGGTGCCCGTAATATACTGCAGCTATCTCGCATCACTAGTCCCCGTAATATCCTACGCCTATCTCGCATCATGGTCCCCGTAATATCCTGCACCTATCTCCTCACTGGTGCCCGTAATATACTGCAGCTATCTCGCATCACTGGTCCTCGTAATATACTGCAGCTATCTCGCATCTTTGGTACGCGTAATACATTTTAGCTATCTCGCATCACTGGTACCCATAATACACTGCAGCTGTCTCGCATTACTGGTCCCCGTAATAATCTGCAGCTATCACGCATTACTGGTCGCCGTAATAATCGGCAGCTATCTCGCATCACTCGTACCCGTAATACACTGCAACTATCTCGTATCACTGGTTCCCTTGATATACTACAGCTTTCTCGCACTGCTGGTACCCGTAATATACTGAACATATCTCGCATCACTGGTCCCCGTAATATACTCCATATATTTCGCATCACTGGTCCTCGTAATATCTTGCATCTATCTCTTCACAGGTGCCCGTTATGGACTGCAGCTATTTCGCATCACTGGTCCACGTAATATGCTGCAGCTATCTCGCATCACTCGTACCCGTAATATACTGCAGCTATCTCGCATCACTGGTACCCGCAATACACCCCAGCTATCTCGCATCAGTGGTACCGTAATATACTGAAGCTATCTCGCATCAATGTTACCCGTAATATACTGGCAGCTATCTCTCATCACTGGTACCTGTACGCATCACTGGTACCCGTACTACACTGAACCTATATCGCATGACTTGTACCCGTAATATAGCCGCAGTATATTACGGGGACCAGTGATGCGAGATAGTTGCAGTGTATTACAGGTACCAGTGATGCGAGATAGCTGCAGTATATAAGAGTACCAGTGATGCGAGATAGGTTACTGGTACCCGTAATACTCTGCAAGTATTTCGCATCACTGGTCCCCGTAATATACTGCAGCTATCTCGCATCACTGGTCCCCATGATATACTGCAGCTATCTTGCATCTCTGAAGCCCGTAATACACTGCAACTATATCGCATCACAGACACCTAAAATACACTGCAGCTATCTTGCATCACTGGTACCCGTTATACACTGCAGCTATCACTGGAAACCCAGGAGTGCAGCAAGTCCTCAAGTGCAGCAAGTACAGAAGCACAAGGAAGACATCAGTCCCTCTGTCATAGCTCAAACAGTTTACACATTCATGCATGAATACTGTTTAAAAATTAAGCACATATTACTGCTGCGACAGAAATACTATTCATCTAACAGCAAATAAATATATAGAAAACAAAAAAAACTTAACTTAAAAGGAGGTGCACGTCATACGCAAACTCTAAACATAGATCAATAAGAGTGACTCATATTATAGCTTACCTAAAGACAAATGAATCCCTTTCAATAAAAACACGATAACCAAGGATTGAAAAAAACACTCCATTATGTTAAAGAATGTTAAATGAATTCAAACGAGGCCTCTAGCGAACAAAACCTTTTTTCATCGAAAATAAATTTGAATTTATATTACGTTGAAAAAATTAAGGGGTGGTTTTCTATTCAAGAGAAAATGAATATTTTGTCAACAGGAATGTGGTATGAAACTTACTTGATACTGAATGATGTAAACCACACTAGTAGTTAAGAAAGTTAACAAGGCATCCATAATGTACAAAGGCCCCAAGACGTAAAAAGACACTGATTATACAAAATACGTCCCAATTATAATGATACATAATCAGAACGCCTGGTCGTAATTGCGAGTCATTAAATGACAGTAAATATTGTAAAACTCCGTAATAAAGGGCATTTGGCATATATAATGAACTTTATGGTTTCAATCATACACCAGTACCGTGTGAAGATTTTCTTTTTCTAACCTTGGAAAACTGATGTTTAAAATATGTCTTTTCAGCATTTGTTGTTTTCTTTTAAAGCAAATAGAGCTGACACATATGGAAAATTTATCAGTTGAATAGTTCAGGTCAGTGTCTTGGACTGAAATAGCATACTAAGTACCCATCATGGCATACTATTTAATCAGTTAGGAAAAGAAATCTATAACTCAACACACATTATATTTTTACCAAAGTGTATTAAAAATGATATACAAATAAGTAACAAATCAAATACCCTGATTTTAAAACAAAAAGGGTCTATATAAAATGAAAGGAGTGACAAGAGGGGTGTAGGGAGGTAAAATGAGAAAATGATGAGCGTTGGGAAGGCAAAACATGTAACTGTGAAGATAGAGATGAAGTGCACATTTCCACAAGTTTTTGCGAGCCTGTAATGAACATATGAAATGACAACGGATGAAATAAACTGGCACAAAACAGAAGCAATTAAAGGGCTCCAAAGTTATGTTAAACGGTTTTTCTCGAAATATAAATGATAAAAATCCTAAACAGAAGAGATCAGTTACCGACAGAACGTTAAAGGAAAATACCCAAGAAGAGGAAAGCATCACAATTATTCAACAGGTATAAAACTGAATGACCAAAGGATTCCTCCTCACTTTTCGTCGGGTTAATTCTACAACCCCGTAACTCAATTTTTGGCAAAATTGAGATTTTAATATCATTTTTTTATCGTCTCAGTGAGCTCTTCACAGTGAACATACTTAATATGTAGTTGTACTAAGAACTAAAATAAATATGTTTATTTCCAATTCCACAAACCCGTAACTCGCTATTTACATCAAACTTTAATTCTAGACTCCAGTAACTTCTCGTCCAATCAATCTTTCTTATTTTGTACCACGTGATACATGACATATCTGTAATTGCTGCCTACTTTATTACAACCAAATATTTGAAAAACCTTTAGTGATTAATTTAAAGATAATTATAGTATATTACCTTACTGTGTATATATATATATATATATATATATATATATATATATATATATATATATATATATATATATATATATATATATATATATATATTATATATATATATATAATTTGGAGAAATAAACG